ACAGATTTGAGATTTATAGATAGAGAATAGAATCTGGAGTAAGGAAGTGTCGCGCTCAATAAAGAGATGCAATATTAGCAGATGCTAATTTTGCAATGGATTTGATATACGGTTTAAAACAAAGATCAGAAGTAAAGTTAATCCTAGAAGATGAAGGGTAGATGACTCATCTAGTACATTACCATTCATAAATATAGGAAGATCTAAATTATTGTGATAATGATTGGCCAAAAAAATTTGAGTTTTATCTGAAATAAAGTTCACCAGCCATTGTGAGCCCCATGCTGTAGTAGAGGTGAGATCTTTATTAAGCTCAGATAAGGATCTCACCTCTACTACAAGCAATCAGAGAGTGTAGGCTTCTTATCATGACAAGAATAAATGGTAGTGTCGTCAGCGAACAATGCCACCTTAGATGTGATAATATCTGGAAGATCGTTAATGTAAATTAAAAAGAATATAGGGCCAAGGATTGAACCTTGAGGAACCCCTGAAGTTATGAAGAAGATATATATATATATATATATATATATATATATATATATATATATATATATATATAAATATAAATATATATATATATATATATATATATATATATATATATATATATATATATATATATATAAATATATATATATATATATATATATATATATATATATATATATATATAATATAACTAACTTAAAATTTTACTAACTACATCTTTCGAAAGGAAATTTTAAAATGTTCTTTTTTTCTTGCTGACTAGGTTTGACTAGGTACCTATTTTGAGTATTGCAGAGTATTAAAAAAACTAATTTATAAACATAAAAGGCCAAGATAGTTAAAATAACTTCCAAGATAGTTATTACAAGAAAAAATATTACTTACATTAATCTTTGTAAAACTTTAAGATTTATCATTGACTTCATATATTTTCTTTAACTTTGTGTTTTGGGAAAAGCAAAATTTTCAATCACAGACTTTCAAATTTTGGAGGAGCTGAATGAACTAAAGAAGTTGTTATTAATAAAAATTCATTAGGCATATTACATAAACTAAACTATATTACATTAACCATTACATAAAATGAACTATAGCCAAAACCATTGTTTAATTTTTTTAAAACCGAAGGCAAAAATAAAAATGAACTTTAGGGTTAAATACATTTAATCAAATAAAATTTCTTTAATTTAAAACAAAATTAAATACAAAAACTACAAACACATCAATTCTTGATTCCTAAATGCATATTTAAATGAATGCAATATGAGTTTTTGAAGTACAAAACAAAAATTTAACATAATATTACCAAATACAAACATGTATTTGACCAAAACATATATATCAACTGACACTTGATGTAGTTGACGCTCCTAAAAATAAAATCTTAATTAACAAGGAAATAAAATTTATGGAAAAGTGAAAAATATTCTTACAAGTGTTATTTTTTTAGCATTAGCATTTTTTATTATTTTTTTTTTAATTTTTCTACTAATTTTAACTAATAAAATATAATTAACTAATAATAACTAACAATTCTAAATTTTAACTAATTCTACTAATTCTAAATTTTAACAAAACTCATTTTTATTTTATTTATTGACATATATTTGGTATTTTTAGCAAAAACAAAATCAGGGTTTACATTATTAAAACTGACGCTAAAAGTAAGGATTTAAAGGAGACATTTTTCTATTATTTAAAGAGATTTAGTCACGAAAAACAATTTTTCGAAAGAAAAAAATAAGCAGAATTAAGGAGAAAATAACTACATTGAAAACAGAATCTTATATATGTATATATATATATATATATATATATATATATATATATATATATATATATATATATATATATATATATATATATATACAATAGAAATATAGGTTTGCAATCTATCAAAGGACTATATAATTTCTTTATTAATAAGTATAATCCATCCACTTAAATAAAATTTCCTAGATGATAAAAAAAAAAAATAAGGAGAAATTAAGGAGAGTTTCTCATCGGTTACTTAGTAAATTGCCAATAACATTCCAACAAGTGATATAGTGGTTATTCATATGTTAGCCACTTTTAGCTGCTGCCACTAATGGGCCATTAAGTAAATGATGACCAAAACTGCTATTACCTAAAATGCCTAAATAGCTCCACTGAAATTCTGATTTAAATGTTTTTGCTGTGTTATATATTTACTAAATACTAAAACTAAAACCATAAGTTTTCAAAAAATCATTATAAAAAAATCATTTCAAAAAAATATTAAATCAATTCCATCAAATATATTTTTCTTATTCTTATTTAAGTTGGATAAGTTACTAAAATATAAATTTTATCATATAATAAATATAAATATTGATTTTAATTAAAATTATTCATATTCAACTTTAAAAGAATAAAAGAGAAAAATTATTTACATCTATCTTCTAAAGAATACTTTTAGAAAATCAGATAATAAAAGAGTAGAATAAGTCACTAAAAAATGTCTAATTAAAAAAATTAAATAAGTAATACAGTTATATTAAAGACAGGTGGGTAGAAAATTTCCTTTAGAGTAAAGGAAATTTTCCACCGTCCTGTCTCTTATATAACTGTTACGACTGGTTTAATTTTTGTAATTAGGCTTATTTTTTAGTGAAAACCTTTGAACTTCACTAATAACTAATTACTAACGTTGAGTAATTAGTCATTAGCAAAGTTCCAAATCTTGATGTTGTAATATTTCAAAAAGTTCATTAACTAATGTACTGGTTCAATTATTTTGTATAGCACAATCTAACAGTTGTTAATTAAAGATATTGAATTATATTGAATTATCAGCATTAACTCTCTGTATTATTAATAGGTTTTTCTTTTGAAAAATATGACTATGCATGAGATTTTGCTCATGAAGTTTTTCAAACAGTCAGAACTTGGTTCTTGATATAGTATATCAATTATTATACTTGAAATACTATATCAAGTCCCAAGTATATACTTAGTATATATATATATATATATATATATATATATATATATATATATATATATATATATATATATATATATATATATATATATATATATATATATATATCAATATCTGTATCAATATTAACACGATTCTCAAGTAATTAAATGTTTAAAAATTTATATATAAATTAGCAAGAACCTGTCTATAAGTTGCTTTTCATTAGGTGTTTTTAAAATTCTTCTTGCATCTTTGGGAAGTTCCAAACCTTGATTTGGCAATATTTCAAGAAGATCATTAACTAATGTACTGGTCCCATTATAGAATAGCACAATATTGTCGAATAAAGACATTGAATTCAAAGAATTATCAGGATAATTGTTTTATGTATCATTAACATGTTTTCTTATTGAAAAATTCGATTCTGCATGAGATGTCTAAGTCTTTGAAATTGTTAGAACTTGGTTCTTGATATAGCAATACTATACTAATAGTATATTAGTATAGCATATATTCAGTTTTAAACCGTTTCTTCCATTATCTGTAAAAATTTTATTACCTGTATCAACATTGGGTAATTCCACATCAAATCACCCAAATTTTTCAAGATTTTGAACCATAGGTCTCATATTTTCTTTAAACTTCTTTAGCTGTTGCATTTCATATAGAAAAGTTCACATGCAAAATTTTAGCCAAAAATGTTCAGCCGAATCAAGGTTTTAATATAGACCTGGTTTCCCAAAATGACCTGGTTTCTGTGTCATTTTAAAAAAACGTTTGCTCTAATAAAATGAAAAATAATGAAAATAAAAATATGAAAATTAGCATTTATAATGCTTTTCTAATGCAGAATTCAAAAAATGCACTTAGAATGCTGAAATATGAGCAGAACATGCTTTAAAATTAAAAACACACCTAATTTATATATTCAAACTTAGGGGTCATATATCTCAAAACACCCCCGTCTAGATTTTTTTTTTTTTTTGCTTTTAATATTTTCAGCTACTTATTATCTTACTAGGCACAAAAAACCTAACTGGAAAAACAACTAAAACATATAGAACCATAGTTTCCAAGATACACCACTTTTATGGGTGCCCATAGCAATTTTCTAACGAGGGGGAGGGGTGAGGGAACAACAAAATATTTTTAGTGATGTTCTAATTTAGTTCAACTTACCAAGAATACTTAAAAAAAAGCATATTGCAAAAGACATGGTGAAAACAACTTTTATTTATTACAGTTAGAGGGGAGGAGAATAGTGTTTCAATAACACCTGGCATTGCCATATCTCTGTCATTTAAACCATTAGCCAATAAAACATATCAAACTACTTTGTATGAACAGTAGTTACTTAGTAGTGATAAGTTGTAGATGAGTTAAAAAATAGAAAGTAGGATTAAATCCACTGAGACATCATTGTTAACTCTTATCAAGCTCCAATTATCCTACAGCCAAAGATTTGGAAATATCTAATACTATATCATTTTTTAATATATTTAAAACTAGAGCTTTTTTTTTACTGAAAACTAAGTAGGAAAGATCTTTTTTTTTTTTGTATCCTTCGAATTGCTTTTTTCTTACTGCAAAAGCATTCAATACACTTCATTGCAAACTAATTAAAAAATTAAAAGGGTATGGCATCACTTAAAAGCTGCTAAAAATCTTCCTAAAGATAGTACATGTGTAGCAAATTATAGAATTCTGTAAAGAATTAATTTTGGTTAATAGACTTTTTATATATTTAAGGAAGTCTTAATTATATGATAACTTAATTATTTGAACTTAGCAACTGAAAAAACATCCGGTTTTGTTTTTATATAAAAACATTTTATAAAAAATAATTGTTATGTTAATATGATATTTTTTAAAATTTTGACAACTAAAGTTTGTAAAAGTTTATTAAAAATTAGTTTATAAAAGTTTAGTTTATAAAAGTTCAGATATAGAACAACATTTATTGGTAAGATTATATTTAAATTTTAAAAAATTAATAATTTAAATAATATAATTATTTAAAAACTTCTTTTTTTACAACATTTATTAATATTAATAATAATAATATTAAGAACAACATTTATTAAAAATTATATTTATTAAAAAACTTTTTTTACATACAATTAAGTAGAAGAATTTTATTTTTATTTTTAGGAAATACTTTCATACTAAATAATTTATCTTATTAAGATGTGTTCTATTGGGTTAATGACATCAGATGCTTGCGAAGGCCAACAAGATGTTATTGAAACTTTAAGCAATGAAGAAAAAATAATTATATCTTTACGCTGTAATATTGAATTATCAAACTTAGAAATATTATGTGAAAGACATAATACAAAATATTTGAAAATGTATCCTATATGGCAGAAAGCTTGTTGTGATCCATTCAATAGACATACAAAGAAAATCACAAGTATGTAGCTGTAAAATTTAAATATTTCATTAATTTATGTTTTTCAAAAAATAAAAGAAAGTTTTGAACTAATGTGCAGACATACTTTATACAATTCAATTACTTTTAGAAAATCTTGGCGTAGTTACAATAAAAGAGTCACAAGTCATGATGAGAAATTGTTTGAATATTCCTCCTGGGAAGAAACTTTGCAAACCTTGTAAACAAAAGTTTGCCAGAAAAAAAGAACTTACAGAACAGGAGCAAAGTAAGAGTGAACAAGATGAGGATTTTCTAATATCACCATGCAAAAAAATAAGACAGGAGATCAATAAAGAACTCAAAAATTTTAGTTTATCTCCTCTAAAATCTCATTCAAAATCATTAAAACATATACTGTCAGAAGGAAAGCAAAAAGTTGCATGCATCAACGAAATGGCGTATAACGCTACTAGAAAAATTGAAACTCAATTTTCCTCAAAACTATGTTATGAAACCAATGGGATGAAAAAGAAGGCTGCAAACTTTGATGAAATTATGAGCTTGGTAAAAGAAAAAATTCTATGTTCTGACAAACGAACTATTGTTCAACTTCTAACACTGGCACCCCCAAGTTGGTCAATATTAGAAGCACAAAATAACTTTTCGGTTACAGAATACCAGGCCAAGATGGCTAGAAAAATTTTTAATAAAAAAGGATTGTTAGGTATCTCTCCATTGTATAAGGGTAAAGTCTTACATAAAGAAATAGAAGATTCAGTTAAATTGTTTTATGACTCAAGTGATTTATGTCGAACTATGCCTGGAAAAAAAGATTATGTCAGCATTCAAAAGAACGTCCACAAACAAAAAAAACTGCTTTTGTGTAATTTAAAGGAACTATATGTATTATACAAAGAAAACAATCCAGAAATACAAGTTACTCAAAATTTGCTTCACTTAGACCAAAGTGGTGCATTTTGCCAGGTCTAAGTGGTACACATTCTGTTTGTGTTTGTTCTTATCACCAAAATGCCATTTTGCTAGTGGATGCCTTAAATATTGAACTAACGTATAAGGATTTACTTTTGAAAACTGTTTGCTCAGTAGAAAACAAAGAATACATGCTTGCACAGTGTGATAATTGTCCTAGTAAAGAACTGCTCACCATGTATTTGTATGAGATTTTTGGAGAATACGAAGATGATTTTGAGATACACTACAAACAATGGCAAACTACTGATCGTGCAACACTATTGAGTTTAACAACAGATGTTCCAACGTTTATTGAACTATTGGTATCTTGTTTTGAAAAGCTACAATCTCATTCTTATATTGCCAAATCTCAATCACAATACCTTAATCAACTAAAAGAAAATATGGATCAATCAAACATTATCATTCTTGGCGACTTTGCTGAAAATTATGCTTTTGTAGTCCAAGATGAAATACAGAGCTATCACTGGAACACCCAACAATGTTCTTTACATCCATTAGTGATATACTATAAAGAAGAAAATGGTGTAGTGAAACATATTTCTTACTGTTTTATATCAGACGACATTACACACGATGTAACTTATGTATACAAGATATTTCAACTAATTATACCAATATTAAAAACAAAATTTCTTGATTTATCCAAATTGCATTTATTCACTGATGGTTGTGCAGGACAGTACAAAAATTGTAAAAGCTTTTACAATCTATGCCAACTAGAGACAGAATTTTCCCTCAAAATTGAATGGAACTTTTCCCACGGAAAAGTCCCACGGAAAGTCACCATGCGATGGAATTGGTGGTACTGTAAAAAGGTTAACAGCACAAGAAAGTTTAAAACGACCATACAGAAACCAAATTCTCACATCAGAGGCTATGTATGAATTTTGTGTTGAGAAAATTAAGGCTGTTAACTTTATTTACATAAAGGGATTGGACTTACAATTGCAATGTGAAAAGCAAAAAGAAAGGTACACTGATGTAACAACTCTACCAGGTACTCGTAGCTTTCATCAATTTATACATCTTGGAGATAATAGGGTTGGGGCGAAGAGGTGTAGTACAGACACTAAATATACAATAATTCACAATCTTAAAAAAAAACATATATTTGAACCTGATACTGTCACTTTAGGAGGTTATGATGATAAGTGGTGGATCGGCATTGTAACTGAAATCAACCTAGAAGAAGTTGATGCTGAAGTTAAGTTTCTCCACCCAAGAGGTCCATCAATCTATTTTAACTGGCCTGAAAGAGACGACCACTGTTTTATTCCTAACATCAATATATTGAAAAAACTATCTGTTCCACAAGCTTGCTCTAGTTCTGGTAGAAACTATGTGTTTGAAAATGTTGAAATAGAAGA